ACACACACACACGTGTATACACACACACACACGTATATATGTATGTATGTATGTGACAATAATTGGGGGCATGAATCTTTTTCTTTCATATATGTCCCCTCAGGGTATCAGGTAAGTGGCCCATGGTAAATCAGAATGACTATCTTTCAGCCTACATCCTTTGCTGCTTCTCACATACTATTTATTAAGTATCTACTATATGTCAAGCCTGTGGTAGGCACTGTTGATACAGAGATGGCTAAGACACAGTCCCTGTCCTCAAGGAGCTCATAGTCTGGTGAGAAAAACAGAAAGGTCCATCAACGAATTACCATGCCCTAGAGTAAGTGTAACCAGAGAATCCTACCAGATGCAAGAAGTGCAAAGCAGAAAGAGTATTGACTATGGGGGGGAGAAGGGATGGAGCCAGCTCCCAGAGGTGATGCTTGAAGGCCATTTAAAGACAAATACAATTTTGCAAGACAAATAAGGTCAAAAGAGTATATCAAATTCTATAAGACAAAAACCACAAGTTAGTGAATGCAGCCTTGTTTTGAATAGCAAGAAACAGAAAACAAACTAAATGAGCATTAATAGGAATCTAGATAGATTATGATGCATCAGAACAGTGGGATACTACACAGCTGTTTTTTAAAAAAAAATATGAGGATGTTGTCTATATACTCATGTACCAAGACCTCCAGATACAGTGTTAATTGAAGAAAAAATCAAGTTGTAAAACAATGTGTAAATCCATTGCTGAGGAATTGATCCCAACTCATAGCAACCCTATAGGATAGAGTAGAACTGCTCCATAGGGTTTCTGAGGCTATACATCTTTACAGAAGCAGACTGCCTTATCTTTCTCCCACACAGCCACTGATGGGTTCGAACCACCAATATTTCCTTTAGCAGTACTTAACCACTGTGGTACCAGGACTTCTCAGAACCAATATTGCACATTATCCCTGCTCTGCCTGCATCTTCACCCTCTCTCTCTACCTAATTCTTCCTGTCAGCATTTAAATAAGTCTCTTGATTTTTAGGGAGGGAAAAAATAGTAACAACAAAAAATCCTCCCTTGACCTCACTTTCCAGCTCTTCACTGCCAATTTTCTGAAAAGACTTGTTTATGCTTCTCATTATCCCTTCCACTAATTAACTTTTACTCATTCTCCATTCCATCCCCACTCCCACTTGACCTGGTTAAACTACTCATTCCTTGGATCTCAGCTCAAACACCAGCTATTGGTCAGTTTCCCTTGACCTTCAGACCAAGTCAAGGACCTGGCACCCAGGATCCTCCCACAGCACTTAGCATTGTTGTTGTTATGTGCCATCGAGTCGGCTCTGACTCATAGCGACCCCTC